AATAGAATAGAATAGAATAGAATAGAATAGAATAGAATAGAATAGAACAAAGAGTACGAGTAGGAATAGGAATAGAATTCTCTATTGGCCAAGTGTGAGATTTAACCCTCTCAGTTTGAAATCAATGGAACACTCCTGAACAATAACAGAGCTTTATTGACCATTTGCAAAGGCTGGACTTCTGTGCTCATATAGGGGGAGCTACAGAAGACATTTGTCATAGGAATACTTGGGGTTTATACACAGTTTAAAAAACAGTCACTGCCCCTTTCTGGGTTCACAGTCTATCCAGCAACTCAATTCCCTTGATAGTTGCTATATCCCACTATTATTAATATTATCATGACAACTGGTTTCTTGACTTGCCAACTACCTTCCTTTGACCTGCTAACTAAATTCTGTTGACCTGACAACTAATGTCCTAATTGGAATGTGCTAAAATGATTGGACACACAATGAATTTGTCTCCAGTGCTTAAGCTCTCCGCATGCATATAAGCAATCTGATAAATCATGATCATAATCACAAAACACAATCAGTGTATCATATTAAAATGCATTATATGCACCTCTCCTTTTGCACTCCCTTAAATCTTTTGCATTCTTTAGTAACGTATTATCCTTTTAAATTGGTTTTGAAAGGGAATATTGCAAGGTCTTCACTTCTTTTGCCATCTTTTCTCTCACTCAGTAGAATGTCATTTAATGGCTCTTTTCTTTGTGCAAGCAGGAGCAGGTTGGTCCAAGAATCGGGCCCACCACCAACAGGCTCGCAGTAACTGTGAGAGGGATCTTGTAGTCTTAGTGGACAACCAGCTAAACAGGAGCAGTGTGCAGCAGCAGCCCAAAAAGCTAATGCAATCCTAAGTTGCATTAACAGAGGGATACAATCGAGATCAAGTGAGATACTAATACCACTCTATAAAGCCTTAGTAAGACCACACCTAGAGTACTGCATCCAGTTTTGGTCACCACACTATAAAAAGATGTTGAGACTCTAGAAAAAGTGCAGAGAAGAGCAACCAGGATGATCAGGGGACTGGAGGCTAAAACATACAACAAATGGTTGCAGGAACTGGGCATGGTTAGTCTAATAAAGAGAAGGACCAGGGGAGACAGGATAGCGGTCTTTCAATATTTGTGGGGCTGCCATAGAGAGGAAATGCTCAAGTTGTTTTGTAAAGCACCTGAAGGCCAGACAAGGAATAATGGATGGAACCTGAACAAGGAGAGATTTAACCTGGAAATAAGGAGAAACTTTCTGACAGTGAAAACAAGCAATGGAACAGCTTTGCCTTTGGGAGTTGTGGGAGTACCATCACTTGAGACTTTCAAGAAGAGATTGGACTCCCATCTTTCAGAAATGGTGTAGGGTCTCCTGCTTAGGCGGGGAGTTGGACTAGATGACCTACAAGGTTCCTTCCAACTCTGATTATCTGTTATCTGCTAAGTAACCCACCCTATGCCATATAGGGCTTTAAAAGTGAACACTAATAAAGGTCCCAGAATTGAGGTCTTTTCCGGGTATAACAAGACATGCCCATAAGTACACAGGTGCATTCAGGACAAATTGAAACTCTGGGATGGTTTTCATGTAAAGCCTTAACCTAATGAAGAGAAGGCTCAGGGAAGACATGACAGCAGTCTTCAAATATTGAAGGGCTATCACAGGGAAGAAGAGGGCATCGATTATTCTCCATACCACCTGAGGCAGGACAAGAGGCAATGCGTGGAAGCTTCTCAGAAGAAGATTCAACCTGGAAACAAGGAGGAATTTCCTGACAGTGACAACTATTAATCAATGGAACAGGTTATCTCCCAGAGTTGTGGATGCTCCATCTCTGGAAATTATCAGGAAAAGATTGGACAACCATTTGTCTGGGATGGTATAAAGACTTCTGCTTTGGGCAGAGGGTTGGATAGATGCCTTAAGTAAACCTTAACCCGGTAAAAGATGGATGCTAAGGATACTAAGGTAACACCATTTTTAGCCTCTGTATAACACAAGACATTTTTCAAGACATTTACTGGAATATTAAGCAAGATATTATGTAAGAAATTTGTAATAACAAGTTTGTTTTGCACATTATGGTTAGACATATGTTTGCAGGTCATTAGATTGTTGGCAGGTCACTTTGTCTGGTTGTCATGCTAAAATTAATAACACTGATAAAAGGGTGTTATATGTGAAAATTTACCTTATACACCTAAGACTATAAAGAGCAAGACAGACTTCATACTTGTTCTTAATCTGACCTTTTAGAGATCAGAGGATTTATATAACTTGTTATTCTGCTAAAGTTCTGTAGAATTGCAAAATATTATGTCCTTGGCTTGGTTTGAGATTCATAAGAGGTTGCCTTGACATTATAGGGATATTAATGATCTCTTGTGTAATCTTTTAAGTGAAAAATGGGAAATCTGATGATAATGATGAAGATGAGAAAAGTTGGGGGATTTCGATGGGCGCATGGGAGGGGGTTATGGAAAAACTCCCAGAATTATCCATATCTTTCTTATAAAAATCTCTATAATTTCTATGTGTGAAAAACAGGAAGTGAGATGTAATCTTTTAAATGTGATAATATAAGGGTGTATTTATTGTAAGGGGGTGTCTCCTTTCTCCTAAACTGGTGTTTGGAGTTGGGGGGGGCGGTATTGCAATATCTTATATTAAAGCCTTCTACAGATTCTGACTATCATAGTCTGTTATTTTATTTTTATCATATTCTTACATAGGGGTATGCCAAAAAGATAGAGAGTATGCCAAAAGGATGAAGATTACTGTGTAAACAGATGGGATGGTAGTTACAGGAATAAGACCCCAATAGGCTAGCCAATAGGAAGAGGCGGTGGTAATAGGGCCAGGCTTTTGAAAATGTATAAAACTCTCAAGATTGCCTGTGAAAAAATATCCTATCTTCTTCCCAAATGAGAAGGATTTCAGCCTTTGAAAACACTTTTCAATAAACAAGCTCTGAATCTGTTCATGAATCTCCTGTCAATTTGATTTATATCACAATAGAGGATCTCTAATGTTCCTTCTATCATTATGAGTCTATGATTCTCGGAAGACTCACAGATTGGATCTGGAAAATGACTTCACAGGAGGACTAAAAATACACTTTAATGATATACATTATAGTAGCGGAATTTTGCAATCTGTGCTTTTCCTCTCTTCCTTCTAATAACTCAGGGTAGCGTCCACCTGAGTTTCTACAAATTTTATCTTATCTCCCTTCCCAGAACTTCAGGAAGGTTTCTGACTCTTTGTTTATATAATGGGTCCTGAATATTTCCCTCAAGAACCATCTCTGGACTATGTCACCTTTTAGATTCACTTCAAAGGAAACCAGGAAATAGACGAATGGCAACAAACTATAGGTTCACTCCTCCCACTAGCAGGAGTTCCCCAAGATCAATGCACAGGTGAAAAGAGCTGCAAGAGGAGCAGAGCCTTATTCCGTCAGACTTTCTAGGCATATCAGACAGCAAAAAGTAGCTACTCCTACTTTATTGTAAGACAACATGAACAGAATCTTGCAAGTCTGAAAGTACAAATCTCCTGCCATTTTCTTTATAGACTGAAAAGTTAAGAAGGAGCCCTTCTTTCACTTCCTATTAGGTTACTGTGTTATTTAAAACAGAATAACAGAGCTGAAAGGGACCTAGGAGGTCTTTTAATCCAACCCTCTGCTGAAACAAGAGACCCTATACCATTCCAGACAAACGGCTCCTCTTAAAACCCTATAGTGAGCATTCACACAAAACACACAAAGCTTAAACATCCACTAAGACGGCTATTGTAAATGAAATAGATTTGGGAATTGGACACAGACAAATAGAAGGAAAACAAAGAAACTTAAAATAATGATGTTTTTTTGTTCAATGTTCAATTTCATTCAATGCAAGGAATAGATAACATCTGGAACAGGCTTTGAAGTCTCGTGACAGAGTTTTTCACATAGGGCAGGTCAAGAAAGAGATAATACAGAGATTCCAGAAATACTACTATATTTTCTATAGGGACAATTACATACTCAAAAAACTGTATGGAATTGGAATTGTCTATCTATCACATATATACTGTATTCAGTGGTGGTATGCTACTGGTTCAGACCAGTTCAGTTGAACTGGTAATTTTAAAAAGCCGATGATCAGCTAAGAGAAAAGTGCAGGATTGGCCCTCCCACCAGCCCCTGTGTTTTTCTCTTCTTTATTCTCAGTTGATTGGCACTGCAGGTCTCAGCTGGTATGTCAGAGTATATTCATGAACTGGAATAGACCATGGTAACAAGGTCAGCCAAGGAATAGGCCTAGCAACTAAGCCAGCCAATGAGACTGTTTGGAAACTGAAACTAGAAGTAGCCTAGGCATGGCTCTATATTAAACTCTGCAGCTCTGAAGCTATGTTAAGCTCTGAGTCTGTCTATTGAAGATGAAACTGCTTCTCTCCTCTGCTGTGTGTCTTGCTTGCCTGCTGAACTAAAGTAAAACTGATGCCTGCTGAAACTGAGATGCTGTTCTGCTCTGAACCTGTAACATATCTGCTTCTGTCTGAGTTTGCTCCATGTTGAAGAAATCTACAACTGGCATTGTAAAATTTACTTTATAAACACATAAAGAAGTTAAATGAAGCCTCAGTCATCTGTGTTTACATTGCAATACTGTGAACGTGGTATGGGGAAAGCTGCACTGGCGTTAGGCAAAGCATGGTCACCAAGCCACGCCCACCGAATCGGTGGTACAACAATTTGAATCCCACCACTGACTGTATTTAACTATATTATTAGGGTTATGATTCAAATATTGATCATTTTGCAAAATAAGCCTGAAACTTCATTTCTCTCTCATCACGCAAAGTTTCTTGTCACAGAAATCTGGATACCCCGCCTAAACATTTCTGATTTCTTTTACATTCCAGCTTCATCCCCTCCTTGCAAACGCCAAGTTTTATAATAAATCCATAGATGGAGTGTATCTAGAAGAGAAGGGAGACCTGACAGCGGACCTGGATGTTGTTATGTGGCTGCTTCGGAACAGGACAACTAGAAAAGTGGTGTTTGGTAGCCTCGAAAAACAGAGAACCCTGGATTTCAAGCTTATGGTCAATCCAAAGGGTGTAGCAGAGATCAGTAAATTGAACAAGGTGGAGAAAGTCTTGATTTTAGTCTTTCTGAATCTCTTCACAACTGGATTGCTTTCTTGGGAGAGGGAGGGATTTTGAATGTCAACATTAGAAGAGGGGGTCAACTTATTGTCCAAAGCACCAGAGGGCAGGACAAGAAATAATGGTTGGAAACTGATCAAAGAAAGAAGCAACCTGGAATTAAGGAGAAACTTCCTAACAGTAAGGACAATTAACCAGTGGAACAGCTTGCCTTCAGAAATTGTGGCTGCTCCATTACTGGAAGTTTTTAAGAAGAATCTAGACAGTGACTTATCTGAGATTATTTAGGTTCTCCTGCTTAGGTAGGGGGCTGGACTAGAAGACCTCCAAGGTTCCTTCCAGCTCCTGATCTACTCTACTCTACCCTACTTCTATTCTATTCTATTCTATTCTATTCTATTAACATCCTCCAAGAAAGGCAACAAATTATTTGGTTAGATATGCAGCTGTCTTTGAGAACTAAATCCGTAACTATTTAAGGAAACTATTCACTAAGTCTTCTACAAAGTACATTTGAGTCAGGTTAGGTTTAAGTTCATTTCCTCAAAGGAAAAACAAATGCATTAAACTTTCCTTTGAGCTATTTAAAATGTAAATGTAGAACCTCAACTACAAATGGAAGTGTACAAAAAATTAGAAGAAATAGAAAGCAAGATTACTGAATTCTTTATATAGAGTTCAAATTTAGCAAAGCTAAGCCTTGCACTGGGCATCATCAACCCCTTTCTGTTTTCCCTGTTTCTGGAAATTCAAACATAAACCATTTTCTGGATGGTCTTCCTTCCCTTTGTTCAGCCCCTCCCTCCTTCCAGGTGTGTGGAAAGCTGCCGTCAAGGATTCATGAAGGTGGAACAGGAAGGGAAGCCGATCTGCTGCTATGACTGTCTTCCCTGTCCTGAAGGAACCATCTCCACCATGGGAGGTGGGTGGCAGGAAAGAGGCAAACTTCTGGGAAGACCACATACCTCAACATTTTGCATGGGGGTATTTTGATGGGCTTTTTAGCAACTGAGCTTGTCAATCAGAAAGATCGGCGGTTTGTTGGTTCGAATCCATAGCACCGTGTAACGGAGTGAACTCCCGTTACTTGTCCCAGCTTCTGTCAACCTAGCTGTTCGAAAGCATGTAAAAATGCAAGTAGAAAAACAGGGACGACTTTGGTGGGAAGGTAACAGCATTCTGTGCACCTTCGGCATTTAGTCATGCTGGCCACATGACCACAGAGACAGCTTCAGACATTGCTGGCTCTTTGGCTTTGTAACAGAGATGAGCACCGCCCCCTAGAGCCAGAAACGACCAGCACGTATGTGTGAGGGGAACCTTTACCTTTACTTTATCTTTCTAACATGTACAGTTTTTTTTCCCTCGTACGTCATAAGAAATTCCTAAGAGGATAAACTGGGAGCAGAACATTTAAAGATACTAGAGCATTAGCAGAGATATGCCCTTTCTTATCTTTCCTCTTCACCACACCTTTCATATTTCAAATTTCTATTTTCATTTTCATTCAAAGCGACACTGTCAGCGTTTGAGCAACACACCCATTGAAAGCAGAACTCCGAAGCAAGTAGATTCCTCAAAGAACATGTTTATTGGATACATCATATCGGCACAGCCGGTGAAAACCAATTCTGGTAGAAATTTCTCCCTCCTATATTTCACCGGAATAAGGACCTGCCTCTCCTTCTAACTCAAGAAAGTTAAAACCCTTGAAACTAAGTATTTCAAAAGGAAACTTTTATTGAGCAGAAGTGAAAACAGGACAAAGACAAAGCAGACTCTAAATCCCCTTAGGCAATACCATTAGATTAAGGCATTAGAAAATATGGAAATACATTTTTAAAAAATG